GGGATGGTGACACTGGGATGGGGACACCGGGCTGGGAACACTGGGATGGGGACACCGGGATGGTGACACTGGGATGGGGACACCGGGCTGGGAACACTGGGATGGGGACATCGAGGTGGGGACACCGGGATGGAGACACCGGGGTGGGGACACTGGGATGGGGACAACGGGGTTGCACTAAGGACAAGCCCCGCCCATGTCATTTTTGGGGGTGTCGCTAAGGGGGTGGCACACTTGTCACCCTCCCATGAGGATGTCCCCAAGGAGAATGGCAATTGTGATCCCCTCACGTGAGTGTCCCCATGGAGGGTGGCAATTGTCACCCCCCCCCGTGACATTTTTGAGAGTGTCCCCAAGGGGGTGGCACTTGTCATCGCCTATGTGAGTGTCCCTATTTTTGAGTGTCCCCATGGAGGATGGCATTGTCACCCTCCCGTGACATTTCTGAGGGTGTCCCCACTTGTCACCCCCAATATGGGTGTCCCCAAAGAGAATGGCAATTGTCACCTCCCCATGACATTTTTGAGGGTGTCCCCATAGAGAATGGCAATTGTCACCCCCCATGTGGGTGTCCCCATGGAGGGTGGCACTTGTCACCCTCCCATGACATTTTTGGAGGTATCCTCAAAGAGGGTGGCAATTGTCACCCCCCAATATGGGTGTCCCCATGGAGGGTGTCAATTGTCACCCCCCTCATGACATTTTTGAGGGTGTCCCCATGGAAGGTGGCAATTGTCACCTCTCCATGACATTTTTGGGACTGTCCCCACAGGAGTGGCACTTGTCACTCCCCCATGACATTTCTGGGGGTGTCCCCACAAGGGTGGCATTGTCACCTCCACAATTGTCACCCCCTCCTCTGAGTGTCCCCCCCCCTCCCCCCCCCCCCCCCCCCCCCCCCCCCCCCCTCGGGTGCCACAAAACGTCACAAAGTGCCACAAGCAGGGGGAGGGGACAGCGCCAGGTGCCACCCCCGGGGCTGCGGCTTCGCTACAGCGAACTCACTTTGGTACCGAGAAAAGAAAGAATTAACGAAGAATAATTAGAACAACAACGACAATCATTCCAAATTAAATTAATTCAAAACGCAACAGGCGACTGCTATTGCTGCTGGGGGATGGGCCGCGGTGTCCCCAACGCCACCAGGACTTGGGGACAAGGTGGGGACAAGGAAAAGGGGCGGGGACTCAGCGCGAAGCCTAAACCTAAGCAGGGATTTCAAATCCACCCCTTAAATAATAGCGGACGTGATTTATTTCTCTTCTTTTTTTCCTTTTTTTTTTTTTTCGTTTTTTTAAAGTTTTTTTTTTTTTTTTCTTCTTCCCCTCTTTAAATATTTATATATAGATTTATATTACGTATATTTTATATATATAATATGTAAATATATTTTTTAAAACAATATAAAATGTTAAGACACTTCACTTAAATGTAAAGAGTTGCTTTTTTTGCAATCCAAAGAAATTGCATCATGATTTTTTTTTTTCCTTTTTTTTTTTTTTTTCCTCTTGCTTTTTTTTGGTCTTTTAAAATTTTTTTGTTTTTTGGTTTTTTGTTCTTTTTTTTTTTTT